CCCACATCCACGCAAGCTTCTCCTGCTCCGAGGCCGCCGCCAGAACCACCCCTGTGTCGTTCCATGCGTGCCACTCGGGGATAACCACCTCCTCGTATGGCAGACTACTTCGCATTTTCAGCAGCTCCCATTGTCGTCCCAGCCACGCATAAGCAGGCGTGTGGTAATCCTGACTGGGACGAGGCTATGACAGTTGAAACTCGTGCTCTTGAAGCTCAGCATGTAACACCCTACCCTATACGTTTTGCCTAATCATATTGTTCATACAATTGCAGCGGAATTAATCTCGGGTGTTACATTAAATATCAAAATTTACCCAAATAAAATTTCGACATGAATTACTCGCGTAATGGGCTAACAGTTCTTGCAACTTATCCTGCAAAATAATTCATCACAAACATATATACTCACAACCATATGCATTGGCTTTTCTTAGCCATAGCCACACTTTTCATACTCCACAACTGCATACCATACTTGTACATACCATAATCGTCACAACTTACACAGTTACACAACATATACACATATCATCAACTTTCCACACCTGTGGATATCTCACACTACATCATAAGCTAGTATGCACATGAATAACGTTCTCAAAACATTTTTACAAAAAGTTGTGGATCACTGGTCAAAATCCCGAGTAGTAGTCCAAGCACAAGATAGTTGAAGACCATACCTCATCCTGGCTTCAACTCTACCTCCTCTCCCACCTAACATTTATCTACTGCTGCGCTGCTGTTGATGATCTACTTACACATAGCATAAGCAGTGAAGAAGAATAAAAGAGGGTCAGCTCATAGCTGAGTGAGATAATCATAGCATCGTGAATTCATAACAGAGCATACCCCTACCATACATCTAGCAAACAAGCCAAAACACTAGGATCAGACCTCAGCCATCCTCATGTCCCAATGGGCAAAAGACTCAACCACATTGACTTATGCATATGCATCTTATCATGTTTTACTTATAGGCGCCTGACTACTCCCATGCTAATAACTCTCCCGGGAAACATACCCCACATCCCGTCAGATGTAGTCATACATACTCCCAACATCCCGTCGGATGTGGTCATACATACCCCACACCACTATTGGTGTAGTCATACCCCGACACCACTCTGGGTGTGGTTATATCTCATAAGAATTCTTCAGTCACCACCACAAGAGAGGTGTGACTATCATACATATCATAATAGAGTAATAGCATAGGGAGCCATAATCACTATGTAGTTGATCGTGAGACCACAACACTCATATTTGGTATCCTTATACATGATTCATATCTCATCTTGCTTAATCATAATTCATTACTTGCACATGTACTTGACCTGGCCATAATTGGCTCAACATAGGTAAATCAGGAGTCGTATAATTGCACTTCCTCGGGATAAACCCTCGTGAAAGTCATCCTCCTTAAACATCATAATATCACCAGGGAATATATATTTTCCCACTTGTGCATCCAAATACAACAATCATGAAAAATCATACATAATCACCTTCACAAACCATCATAAAGCATATTAACAGTCAAGCCCACAATTTGCAACATATAGACAATCATCAGCATAAACAAGGTCCATATCGATTAGGGCAAGTCAATAATATCATACAACAATCCAAGGTTCAACATATAGCACAAAAGTTCATACACCCCTAATCATGCCATTCTAGTTCACCTAGATCCATTCTAAGCATCAATATAATTATCATGATACGACAAACCCGGTATGTCGTGCTAATCCCTCACCAGTTCTGGTCGTTCAAACACCGGTTTAACCTTCCCGTACTAAAACATTAATTTCACGAACGAACCCCGAATTAAAATCCGAGACCGTCCTAATATCCCCTGCAGTATCCCCGTCAATATTAGTTCTAGCCTCCTGGTCAAATTCTTGATAAAAACACATCAAACCCTGGCCGGAGCTAAATTCAGCGATCCCGAATCCGACCTAAATAATAGCCGAAATTCAGGGATTAGAACCAGAGGACTAATTACCTCGCTGCATGAAGCTCGTATATGAAATCTGGGCTCAATCCGGCTTCCGGATACTCCGAAACCCTAATTTGGCTTATCGGGAATTCAAGAAATTCCTGAACCAAAATCTCGTTTTAAAACTCTAAATCGATAAATCACGATGTATAGATGAATTAGGCATTACTTACAGGATTTTTGGATCAGTAGAGCTCCAAAACTAAGCTCTGAAAATTTCCACCGAGTTGGCTCTGCGTTTCTCTGTTCGCTCTGGTTTTGGGACAGTGAAATGGAAAAAGGAAGGGGAAATAGTCTCTGGCAAAATAAGGACACGGGGAGAAGGATTTATATAGTGGTCACTGGTCTGTGACCGCTTATGTAATTATATATATATAATATAATATATATATATATGGTGGCTTCTATGGTACCCCGGGTGAAATCCGGGGTACCGCATACCTCGAGTATGGAAACTCTATCTAGACCTCGAATTACCAGGATTTTTGTGTCTGATATTATACCCTAACCCTTAATGAGTGAAACGTAGGTCATAACTATCTAAATCATAATCTATAAACCCTAAGATGGTGCATTCCTTTTTGTGCCTATATTTGGATGAATCATAACCGTCGATTATTGTTTCTAATTAAATTGATCTTGGATTATAAGATTGGGAGAGTTAACACCTAGATTTTGATCTTTAAGTGTTAGAGTATAGTATCATGTCCGAAAGATTGGTCAATTAAAGGTCTAGATAGTGTTTGCATACTCAAGGTATGCGGTACCCCGGATTTCACCCAAGGTACCGTAGAACTCGCCATATATATATATATATATATATATATATATATATAATTATATATAATTAATACGTATACTTATCCGATCAATTGATAATCCGATTTTTGTCGAAATACTATCAAAACGTTCGGTTTTAAATCGCGAACTTTCTAGCGATCGAAATAAAAGTTTTGCCAAAATGGGATGTTACACAGCAGACCTGGGATATTGTCCCACTTCCCGTTGATCATTCGATTATTGGCTCGCGGTGGGTGTATAATGTGAAGATGAGTTCGGATGGGTCTCTAGAACGGTTCAAGGCTCGAGTAGTGGCCCAAGTTTTTTGTCAAAGAATTTGAGATTGACTATGAGGAGACTTTTGCACCAGTAGCAAAGATGCAGACAGTTCGGACATTACTTGCAGTTGCCGCTATGAAGGGTTGGAGTTTGACACAGTTGGATGTGAAGAATGCCTTCTTACATGGAGATTTGAAGGAAACGATCTATATGGAGTGCCCTCTTGGTTACTTGAATGGGGATAAGTTGAAGGTTTGCTTGCTTCGTTGATCTCTTTATGGTTTAAAGCAGGCACCTCGTGTCTGGTTTGAAAAATTCCAGAGTACGATTCTGTAGGTTGGTTTTCAGCAAAGTGATAATGATCCTTCTTTGTTCCTTCGGCGAACTTCTCGTGGTCTCACTGTTCTTTTCATTTATGTTGATGACATGGTGATTAGTGGCGATGATCAGGAAGGAATTGCTTATCTCACTAAAGTTCCAAGAGATGCCTTTAATCTAAAGGAGCTAGGGGATTTATCATATTTCTTAGGACTGGAGGTTCATAGATCTGTAGCTGGTGTGTTAATTTGCCAACAAAAATATGTGGTGGATTTACTGGAACAGGCTAACATGGAGGACTGCATTCCTTGTGCTACGCCCATGGAATAGAATTTGAGGTTGAGTCGAGACGATGGTGAGATCATACCAGATGCTTCCCTTTATCGGAGTATAGTGGGCAGTCTTATATATTTGACTCATACTCGGCCTGATATTGCTTATGCAGTACAGGTCGTTAGTCAGTTCATATCAGCTCCCCGGTCCCTACATCTTGTTGCAATTATGCGGATTTTATGTTATCTTCGCGGTACGCAGGATGTTGGGCTCTTTTTCCCGACAACTGGTTCTTTAGAGATAAAGGCATATGCCGATGCTGACTATGCTGGCTGTCAGGATACTCGACGTTCCACGTATGGCTGGTGTGTGAAAGTGGGTTCGTCTTTCATTTCTTGGCGCTGCAAGAAGCAGGATCGGGTGTCGAAGTCGTCTACGGAAGCAAAATATCGATCTATGTCAGAAGTTACTTCAGAGCTGATTTGGCTGCGTCGTCTGTTAGCTGAATTCAGAGTGGTTAGCTCTTCTCCTATGAGACTCTATACAGACAATACTAGTGCGATTAAGATTGCTACCAATCCGGTGCTCCATGACCGTACGAAGCATATTGAGGTGCATGTTCATTATATAAGGCAATTGGTTGAAGAAGGTCAGGTTCTTTTATCGTATATTACTTTGGAGGATCAGACGACGGATCTGCTTACTAAAGCGGTTGCTACTTCACGACACTGGTTCCTAGCTCACAAATTGATGTTACGTAGGTACCATCAATTTGAGGGAGGGTGTTAGAAGTGTAGGTAGCAAAGTGTAATTAGTCCTTTTTAGGTTTAATTACGTTCATGCCTTTGATGGGGGTAGACGGCAGTGTATATATGTTGATAGCCGTCATTCGTGTAACCTAAGAATTCTTTGGGCTAAGATTATACGATAGACTGTGAGAGATTGGTCCTCTCCGTGGATTAGTCTCAATTATACTCGTTGGGAATACCACGTTAATCCGTTGTGTTCTTTCGGTTCTGTCTTGGTTTTCAGAATCCAGCTTGCATGCATCCCCAAGAATCGATTCATAGAAATTAAGAGCCAAAACTAGATTTACCTGTCTCTAACAAGCCGGAGTTCGTCGCCGCTGCCTATGGTCATCCGGAGCCAACTGCCGCCTTCGCCACTCACCTCCATCTCGCAGCTAGTCATCGATCTCTGCCGCTGGGCGACGACTGCACCGCTGCCCCCGAGCCGCGCCACTGCGAACCGCTGCTATGGAGATATCTCGCAAAGCTGGTCCAAGAAAATAAGCTTTTGCCACAACATGAGACCTGTTTGCACAAAGAAACAGGGACATGAGTGAACTTTTACTTGTTGACATCGATGCATGAATCTAGCACAATTCCTCCTGCAAATTTGACAAAACACTGAATTGCGGACTTAATACTTGCATCGTCTGACAAATTGCTGTGTAGTTCAGGATCCAAAGCCTCAGATGCATGGCCATTGCTGGATACAGACCGTCTTTGCTGATGTTCACGTCCCAATCTCGCATATTCACTCCCAGCAGTTACAACGCTTATACACCTGCCGACTTGAGAAAATGCCTAATCAATTAGTTTGCGTAAACCTACTTGCTAAGAAATATTAAACCAGTTTATTACTGGAAACAAGAAAAGCTAACTTTGCCAAACAATGGATATTGTTGTTGAAGCCTCCTGTGTCGACATTAAAGCCAGTAGTGTACCAAATGTTTGATGTCAAGAAGTGGCAAATAAGTAAGGAAACAAGGTCCATGAAGCATCAGTGGCACCTCCAACTTCTACCAAAATCGATCTTACCCATTAAGAGTCATGGTCACTTGGATCCTGCATAGAACAGGAACACAAATTTTAAGCTGTCAGCAGCACGTTGGATACTGTTGAATTTGTGAGTTCATACCAAGTCAACTGGCACTATTCGTGCAGCTTTAGATTTTGATGATGCAATTCCTACATGCTGAAAGTACCCGATCACCTCAGATTGAGCCAATGCCAGGGCAGAAAATACCATCTGTGGACAAAAGGAGTCGCTACGTAATGAAATTCCATTCAGATTACCTAAAGAACTTGTATGAGATACTAGAGATCAAATTCTTCAATTGAAAAAACTACCTGAGTATTAGTCCAAATATATGTGAACCATTAGCCAGAGATGAGGACTGAAAGGAGCCCTTAACATTTGGAAACATAGAAACAAAAGACAGGAAAGGCTTAAACCAGCTTCAGATATAAATCCAATTTAAGAAACCAACCTTTTCCAGAGGATAGGCCTCTGTTTCCAAGGTTTCTGGCCTATTCCAGAAAGTACATAAATTACTAGTCAACAGTCAACATCAAACCCCCACATAAACTAGACTTTACGATATCCAAATCACCAAAAAACAGCCCATAAAATTCCAGTTTCAAACCCATATAAACACACAAATTCTCAGAATCCAACATACCATTACCACAGATAAATTTCCAAGATTAAACGCCATTACCATAGCCCTATCCAAACACCAAACTCCCCAAATAAAAAATAAACACCACAACCACCACCAAGCTTTCAATTTCAAAACCCACAGTTTCCACTTTCAATAACACCCTAACCAAAATCCCAGATTTAAGAAAACCGACATATTCGTCCCCAAAAATCATATTAGCACTAACACCATGAACCATTGAACCACGAAGCCAAAAAATGACCCCAAGTACCAATCATTGTTCCAAACTCGAGTTTCTCCACAATACAGGTTTGAACCCAACCGCTCAAATCATTGGATGAACCTCCACTATCACAAAACTTCCATGAATCATTTCTCATTCATACCACCATATCAGATTTATCATAATCATGCACATCCACAAATCACCCCCCAAATATTTTTGAATTCCCATCACAGATTCCTATATTGAAAACACAACATAAGCCTTAATCACAAGCAATAGCAGTGTTTTTAGTTTTGATTTCTCTACACTTTCGTAGTTTTATCCCATTTTGCTGTACTTTAACCAAAACCTTGCGATTAAGTCCATCCCCCAAATACCAAAGGTAAGATAACCTAACGGTAAAGCTGCCGCAACAGTGAAGGTTTGGGAGTTGCAGATCCCAGGTTCAAATCCAAGCGAGGCCCGTTGGTGTTCCCGGAGGTACAAGGCTGCTGGGGGCGAAGCCCTGTTGGCGTCAAATTAAATGCAGGTGGCCCCCAGGTTTAGTAGGACCCGCTGTCACAAAGTGGCACGGGGGCTGAGGTTCGTGGGTATAAAAAAAAGTCCATCCCCCAAATAAACAAACCAATCGACGAAATAAACCTAGCATTTTATCTAAGTTTTGAGTGGCTAATCGCCAAACCGCCAAAAATCAGAATCCCACCATTCAAGTAGGGATGGCAATGGGGCGGGTTCGCCTAAACCATCCCCATCCCCGCTTTTAAATATCCAAACCAGTACCCGCCCCATACCCATTCGGAGGAAGGTTTTGCACACCCATCCCCATACCCGTGGATTTCGGGTACCCATGGGTAATACCCGCCTCGTACATCCAACATCATTGTACCAAAGACTTTACATGCAAATTTTCAATTATAACGCTAAACAGACTTACTATATCATTAATTTTACAAAGATAAAATCATTGTTAATACGGTTCAAATCCTATGATCCTAAAACATCTATTATTCAATAAGATAGAGTATAATATTTTTCAAATCATTAGTTTCTAACTCTGATACATCTACTAAGTAATATTTACCTAACATAATATCTTGTTAACAAGAGGAAAAAGTGAAAGAATGAAGGGAGAATTGACGTAAAGGAATAAATTTGTATTTGGGTGGTCACTCAATTGCATGTATACTGTATATTGTCTTAAGTTACCTTCACTAGCATTGATAGGTTTCAATTTGATACATGTATTTTTTATATGTGAAGAAATATTGTTGGTAGGGCGGGTATGAGTATGGGTATGGGGAGGGAGAGGCTAAAACCATACCAGCCTCATACCCATCAAACTTTTTGCGAGTTTTACCCATACCCGCCCCATACCCAGTCAATGCGGGAATTCCCCGCGTTGACTGGGTTGGGGGCGGATGGATACCCGCGGTCATGGGTTTGATTGCCATCTCTACATTCAACCAGAAAATCAAGCAAAAATATATCAACTCATTTCTTCTAAAAACTTAAACCAACACCAAAATCGAATAGAAACCATACATGCGGGACAAATATCACCGTTTCGGGCCGCCTCTATCGAGCTGCTCGCCGGCGTTGGCCTCTTCCTTCTTTTACCCTCGTCCTCTTTCCAAAAACCACAAACCAAGCAACAAAAGATAGAACTCAGAATCTAAGAAACCCAAAATATCTAAACAAAGCAAGAACGAAACCAATCCTCACGCGTCGGTCGCTACCGGTGATTCCCTTGTAGCCGACATAGAGCCAAAGTTACTTATCTGTCGTTGACTTTCTCTAGTTTTTTTGAGCTTCTGGCCAATTCTTCTTCTTCTTCTTCTTCTTCTTCTTCTTATTCTTCTTCTTCTTCTTCTTCTTCCCCACGAGCAGGGGAACCAAACCTGAAAGTTTCTTCTTCTTCTTCTTCTTCACAGCTCTCCATTTTCTACAACACACAAGCAAAAAGAGAAGAAAAAAACAAAGAGACACTTGGTTCTTCTCCTTCTTCATCTACATCTTCCAGACGATTTCCTTCCTCTTCCTGCTCCCCACGAGCAGCGAAAACCAAGGCTCTCTACATCCCTTTTCTTCTTCTCAGCTCGAAAACAACACACAGAAACACCCAAAAATTATTAGAAAAAACATACTCTTCCCCTTCTTGCTAGGGTCGACATCACAAACGGAGAGCAAAAAAGGATACACAGTGGAAAGAAAAAAAACCTCCATGCTACCTACCTTTCAATAGACAACAGAACAAAAAGACTCCACTCACATTTCCTCCCCCATACAAACACAAAACAAAAATATGTAAATTTCCCACTCTCCTCTTCTTCTTTCTTTAGCAACGCACAAAACGCAACAACAACAAACACAAGAAAAACTAAAAAAGAAGCAACTGCTGCAGCAAAAGTGGAGGGAAAACAGCTTCATCCCTTCCCCAAACTATAAGCCGAAGGTTGGTAATCATCATTAAGCACCATCATCCATGTACTTTCATCAAAGCATAAACAATATTCTTGCTTGTTCTGCCCTGTTTGTCTAAGTTTTACTGGTTTTGTTTCATCTTCTATATAACTTTTAACATCTCAATCTATTGAGACACAAATTTCAAAAAATGTTCGCAAGCAAACCAATAAAAAGCAATATTCAACCAAAGCTCAACTTTGTGCGGTATTTTAGAATACCTCTTTGGTTTTGAAGGAGCCCCTTCTAATCTTGAAACCTACCTCACCAAAACCATACACATTCAGTAAGCCTAATCTCAAACCAAAACCATCAAACAAACATTAACTCCCTAATTCGAAACCACAACCCACAGCATACATATTTCCAGATTCAGGCACGCAAGCTACCATATCCAAGCCACCATAAAAAAACATTAGAACTTCTTCCTTTTCCATATCCAAATTCCAAACACGCAAGCTACCATAAAACACAACTACTCATTTCTAGAATTCATCCGACCAGCAAAAGCTAACACACAGGTAGGTATTCAGAGCTAGAGCTACCAACAATCAAATTAAAATAACCCCCAATGTCCCAAATCCAAGAACACTAGCACTCACCATCATCGTGCATCAGATATTCACATGGTAATACTTTTTGTTATTGTGAACCATTTAATCGAAATCCCAATCAATCCAAGTAACTTACAAGTTTCGCCTTGAAATGAAATGATCAAAAAATAGGTTTTATTGTTCTTTGTTAGACCCACCATTATATTTTGATAGAAACCTATTTCTAGGGTTCTATCGATAGGATTGAGAATTTGGGAATTGATTGAGATTTAGGAATTTAGAAGAGAATTTGGGGATTAGGAACAGAATTGGGGAAGAACAGAAAGAACGGCCGAAGCCTCGAGATAGAAGGATAGACGAGATTGGAGAGAGAAAGAGATTAGGGTTTTGGGGAAGGATAGCTTTTCTATTAATTTCTGCTTGTTTGAACAACGAACCCAAAGTACATATTTATAGCTCAATTCTAGAAAACCTAATAGACTATCCTAATACGACTCAATGACTACTAACCATATCTAATAATATCCTAATTATAGTAATAATAATAATTATGATAGAACCCAAAAATTAGGTTTCTATCATCCCCTCCCCCTTGAGACCAACCTTGCCCTCAAGGTTGAAAGACTCGACCCACTTTCCCACGTTGTCCGTGCACCTTGCGCCTTGACTCTTCCACGTCTCGCGTTTCCTTTTCTTCCAATCATACTCCAACTCGACTTGTGCTTCTAGCATTAATCTCTTTTGCCAATCCAACTCTTCGAATTTCACTTCTATGGGCCCACTACTAGCTTCCTTGACAAATTCAAACCTCAATAGCTTATCTCCCAATGGTATGACTCGATCAAGAATCTTGAACTCCAAGCTAGCGTCCCTTGCCGATCCATGCCTGTTATGAGTTCGGAACTCTGGACCTGAATTTACCTTCCTTTGAGCTAGCCCATACTCTTGCCTTGTTGTCTCTTTAATTGCTTTTGGGCTCTGTTCTTTAAAAAGCCCACCTGCCTAGTCATTAAACCCACCATTTTCTTCATTCAAGTCCATTTTCTTCAAAGAACAGCCCACCCTGAGCATAATTCGTTCCATAAGACTC